TGTGCCCCTTACTGTCTGGATTAAGCCCAGAAGTGGCTTTTGGAATGACACTCAGAAAGAAGTTGAACTTTACCTTTGTTCCTCTCGGTGCTCCTGTTTTTTGCCCCCATCATACTGTGTTTTGGATTTCTGTTTCTTGGCTAGCCGTGGTTTTGCTTCTAGTTCTGATTTGCACAGAGCTGATGAGTTATTCTTTATTGGTGGTGGTAATGATTTGAAACTTGCTTGTGTGGTCTTGCTATTTTGTGATCTTTGTGGCAAAGTGTGCACCAAGAATTTCTTTGACAAAAAAATTATAAAACAGACATAAAATACGTTTTTTGTTTTTAAAAGGAGTGATTTTGTCTAAATTCAGAGCTTATTAAAGGTTATCTCAAAATAAAATATAAAAAAAATTAAACAAACAGGTAAAAAAGATTGAAAAAAGTTATGGGTATAAAAATGTATTTTGGGTAAAAAAAAAAAAGGTTAAAAAATAATTTTGTATAAAAACTTGTATAGTAAATTTTTGTCTTAAAATAAAATGACTGATAACTTATTTATTTATTTATTTATTTTTTAAAAAGATGACCGGTAAGGGGATCTTAACCCTTGACNCAGGTAAAAAAGATTGAAAAAAGTTATGGGTATAAAAATGTATTTTGGGTAAAAAAAAAAAGGTTAAAAAATAATTTTGTATAAAAACTTGTATAGTAAATTTTTGTCTTAAAATAAAATGACTGATAACTTATTTATTTATTTTTTTTTTTTTTTTTAAAAAGATGACCGGTAAGGGGATCTTAACCCTTGACTTGGTGTTGTCAGCACCACACTCACCCAGTGAGCAACCGGCCATCCCTATATGGGATCCGAACCTGTGGCCTTGGTGTTATCAGCACCACACTCTCCCGAGTGAGCCACGGGCCGGCCCAAAATGACTGATTATTTAGAAAAGAGGAAGAATAGGACAAAATAGGAAGTCTGACCATGTTGTCAAGGGTCTGTGCAGGTGGTAAAGGGTTCATGAAAAGTGAATTTATGAAAAAAAAAATGTGTCATTAAGTTGACTATAATAAAAAGTGAATTATTTATAAATCTTTCTAAAGATTGATCTTTAATATTAAAAATACACTGATACATAACCAAAAATTTGGTTCCCAGTGTTAGAACAATGGATTTTCTTAAAGTATTGTTTTGTTCTTAGTAGAAGGTTTTGATTTTTAATCCTAGAATCTGTTTCTTTATCTTCTAAACTGCAGACAGTTTCTATTTCTGCCACATTTTGTCCTGAGATCCATTTAATTTCTCTAGTTTTAGGTTGGAAATGCTGTCTTTGTTTAGAATGGTAATTTTATTTTTTGAGGTAGAGTTTTCCTTTTGAAGCTTCTCAGATTCCTATATCAGAAGTTCAACTTCTGCTGTATCTCACTTCAAATGATTTGCAAGTTATACGCCATTGCCTTTGGCTTTCCCTCTTTCTCCACTTGAAAATGTCTCGAGTGACAACTCTGTCCTTAACTTTGTCATCAGCTTCTATAACTCTCCCCCTATTCTAACCCTGCTGTTATCACCTGAAACTAAGATGTTCTGTCTTACAGGTCTAAAGAAGCAATGTTTTTCTCTAGTATAGCTTTTTTTAAAAATTTTTTTCAAAGTACATAAAATATTTACTCATATAAATGTAAACATAGTTTTCTGAAGTGTTAGCTTATTTCAGTTGTCTAACTTTAATATTACTAGATTCAAGGTCATTACTTATGTTTGAAATCTTTATTTGAACTAGTTTAAGTGTGCACACACACATGCGTGCATGTACACATACGTACACACACACACACACACACACCCATACGTATCAAATACCAGGCATCCCCCAGCCAAAATCAGGCCAGGCCTAGGATTAAAACTTTCACAGTTTCTGAGGCATAAGAAACAAAGCAAAGTTTTAGAAATAAGAAGAGGCAGAAGTAAATGAGTTCAAGGGCCGGCCCGGTGGCGCACTGGATAGTGCGCCGCTTGGGAAGCGCGGCGGCGCTCCCGTCCGAGGGTTCGGATCCC